TTCCTGCTCTTTGGCATACTTAGGGATGTTGATGGTAATGAGTTAAAATACCTACCCCAAATCCCTCTACCTCAAATGCCACGTTTGCTGCCTTAAAAGGAACGCCTTTTTAAAAGGAATTAATGGAGGGAAAAGGTTGTATTCTCATTAACTGTTCTGTAGATCTGGAGATTCAACAGCACGGATATGGAACCTCAGTGAAAACAGCACGAGTGGCTCCACGCAGCTGGTACTTCGACACTGTATCCGGGAAGGGGGGCAGGATGTACCCAGCAACAAAGACGTGACATCACTGGATTGGAATGTAAGTAGAGATGGCAGAACTCAAAATACTCTGAGAGAATTGTACCTATAATTCTGCACAGTCAAATGTTCAGTGACAGCAGCTGTACATCCCCTGCCGCAGCTCCCAGGGTGTTTCTGGTTTTGAGTTGCATTGTAATTTCTTGTATTGTACTTCAGGCACTTCTTTTTAACAAGTTGTAGTCAATTGAATACATATCATAAATCTTATACAGATGGATTCTACCTGAATTTGCTTTGTGCTCTTTAGCTTTGAGTGATACAATAAAAATAAAGAAATAAAATAACCTTTCTGCTGGCAGAGTGAAGGTACACTTCTAGCAACTGGGTCATACGATGGCTTTGCCAGAATATGGACTAAAGATGGTAAGTGAAATACTTTTAATTTCCAGTATATTTTCCTGTATTGTGGCTCACAGCATAGTTTTTTATTTTTTTAATGTATTTATATCAATATAAATTTTCAGGTAATCTTGCCAGCACCTTAGGGCAACATAAAGGTCCTATATTTGCGTTAAAATGGAACAAGAAAGGAAACTTCATTTTAAGTGCAGGAGTGGACAAGGTGAGATGATCTTTGGTAAAATTAAAATTCTTTCCTTCACCATTATACTTTAACTGTAAACATAATAGCAAAGCTATAGAAAGTAAGCACATTCAACTAAAGGCATGGGATGTAAATATGTATTTAGAAAGAACTTGCTATGCTAGCTTTGGTTCCTTGTGTTTTATAGTAGTTTATTGAGAAACTTTAATTTATTAGATTTCAATGTCCCTGGATCTTTTCCCAATTATGTTGGTTTAAGTTAAATGCAGGAACTTTAACCTTTATAAAACCAAATAATCTAAAATTTAGTGAAGCACTATATGCAAAGTCTCCGAAATAAAACTGTGCTGGAGGAATAGGTGCAGGCTGACTTGAGTATCAGTCAAGCCTGAGAATGACAGAAAATGTTAGAGCTGGAACATAAGAGAAGCCAATATATCTGACTGGGGAGGGGCCACAAGTGTAAAGCCACGAAGCTCATTGTTTAACTGTCTTTTATTTCATGTCTCTAAACAAACTTAAAGACTCACAGTCTTTGAAGTCAAAGCTGTTGTTAGTGTGAAAGATTTTATGAAGATAAGACTTAGGCTGAATTAAAAGAGAAAGAAGAATTTCATTTTTCGTCTGTAACTGGTTCAAGGTGCAGAAGTAAATACAGATTTTCTCTTAGTGACACTGGCAAACTACAAGCCCAGTAAGACCACAGGTCTGCAGTCTTAAAACTGGCATTGTCACTGTAAAGGAGTAGATGTTCTCCTTTATTTTTTTTTCCTACACACATTTAACCTGGTTTGCTTTAGTGGCCAGCTTTATAAAATCTTGTGCTGGAACACAAAGCATGGAAAGGATGGGTTTCTTCTTTTGGCAGCTATGAGGGCTTATGCCAGTTTTTAAATCTTCGTGGAGATAGAAGCCTCATTATTTCAGTCAATAAAACTCTTGCTTTGAAAAATACTCTGCATTAGCAGAAAGATTGACTCAACCTTATGCTTCTTTTCCATAAATAATTTGTGTGGTTAGTTTATGCTTCCACTGAATTCAGTGTCAGAATTTTCATTGATCACTGAGGTAGGTCAGGAATGTTGCCATAGCATATAGTGATGATAAAATACTAATTTTGCCATGTAAGATTTCTTTCATCAGAAAGGTATCAGAAGTATTGGCAGAGAAAAGCTCAGAAATAAATAACACCCTTAAATAAAACCTTTCAGATTCTTAAGTATGAGACTGTTTATATAAAGGTCTCCTTAGGGACAACTGAATATTTGAAATTACAATTTGAATATACAAGTATTTGAAGTTGAAATAGGTGTGTGGAGTAGATCACAAGAATACTAATAGAACTAAGGAGATAAACCAATTTAACTTTGTTTTACAAAAAAGAAAAGCCCAGAATCCCCTCCTTCCCTCCACACCCCAAGATGTGTGCTAAACACCTTTCTAATATTGCAGCATGTGAAAAACCTCCACTGTTTTCTGTATATCTTCTACAGTTTCCCTCAGTACTGAGTTAAACACTAGAAATACATAATTGGGAGCAGGTTTGGGCACTGGGGAGTAGCCTGGGGTAGTCTGATACATGGGAACTTGTACAAGTTTGTTTATTGTTTATTTATATGTTTAATACAGACCACAATTATTTGGGATGCCCACACTGGTGAAGCCAAGCAGCAGTTTCCTTTTCATTCTGGTAAGTCTTAGTTCTGATCATTCAGGATTGTCATCAGAAAAGACCCAAAAAGTGTTATCTATTTAATAAATAAATACACTTGAAATTTATGGAGCTTATTTACACCATTATAAAGTCTCACAGGCAACCTTTGGATACCAACTCCCATATTTGGAGTCTTATGACTAGATAGAATTGTTCTGATTTTGTAACTTTATAACTCACAATTTTACTGCACTTCATCAAAATCATAAGGGATAATCCAAATATGACCGACTTTCTGTAGCACAGTGGCAGACAAATCAAGTGGGTGGGCTGTGAAGGTTTTGTGTTTATCAGCTAAAGACTGCATTTGTCATCTTCCTGTAATCCCAGCTCTGCATCCCATTGTTCTGTGCTGCCTGCTGTGCTGTCCCCAATTTGTTTGGCCACAACCCAGCTGAAAGGCTGTCACTGGCCAGCTGGGATGAGAGGGCAGCCTCTCAGGAGGGCAGACAAATTGCTTTGTGGGCTGCATGCTGTGCAAGCCTGCCAGAATCAGCTGGAAAATAGAATAGAGAGGATGACAAACATGTCATTGAAGAGCCTTTAAGAAATGTGTCTCATTTCCACTTTTTATTCTGCTCACACTGCGTTTTCAGTGGCATGAGAACAATCAAAACCATCAATTTTTTATTTACTCCAAGCAATTCTGTGTGCTATCTGCCATGAATATCTTGGCCTGACCAAATGGAGTATGTCACCCACGATTAAGTTTCAAGTTGCCATACCTTTTAATGCTGAAATTAAAAAAGAAAATAATAATTACCTTTCACTGGCAGCCATGTATAAGCACAAGTGTGGGCTGTTGGTGGAGATGAGCCTGTCTATGACAATGTGTTAAGTTGTGGGACCCTGTTCCTCATGCTGGTTATTGAGATTTATTTTTAGATGACTTAACTACAGCTTGTCACGCTGCACTGTCTTAGAATCATAGAATTGTAGCATCATCAAGGTTGGAAGAGACCTTCAAGATCATCAAGTCCAATCATCCACCCTACAAGCCCTAACCACTAGACCACCTCCTGAAACATCATGTCCACCTGTTTTTTTAACACCTCCAGGGATGATGCCTCCACCACCTCCCTGGGCAGCCTGTTCCAGTGTGTCATCACTCCTTCTATGAAGAAATTTTTCCTAATATCCAATCTGAACCTCCCCTGGCACAACTTGACCCCATTTCTTCTTGTGCTATCACTGGTCACTAGGGAGAAGAGGCCAACACCAACATCACTGCAACCTCCTTTCAGATAGTTGTAGAGAGCAATGATGTCTCCTCTCAGCCTCCTCCAAGCTGAACAGCCTCAGATCCCTCAGCCTCTCCTCATAAGATCTGTTCTCCAGAGTCCTGATCAGCCTAGTTGCTCTTCTCTGCACCTTCTCCAGCACCTCAATGTCCTTCTTGTACTGCAGAGCCCAAAACTGCACACAGTGCTCGAGGTGTGGCCTTACCAAGGCTGAGTAGAGGGGCAAGATCACCTCCTTGGTCCCACTATTCCTGATGCAGGCCAGGATGCTGTTGGCTTTCTTGGCCACCTGGGCGCATGCTGGCTCATGTTCAGCCAGCTGTCAAATCAACACCCCCTGGTCCCTCTCTGCTGGGCAGCTCTCCAGTCACTCCTCCCCAGGCCTGTAGCACTGGCAGGGTTTGTTGTGGCCAAAGTGCAGAACCCAACATTTGGCCTTATTGAAACTCATGCCATTGGCCTTGGTCCATTGGTCAAGCCTGTCCAGGTCCCTCCCTGCCCTCATGCAGATCGACACTCCCACCCAGTTTAGTGTCACCTGCAAACTTAGTGAGACTGCACTCTGCCTCCTCATCCAAATCATCAATAAAAATGTTAAACAGGAGCAGCCCGAGCCCTTGGGACACCACTTGTGACCAGCTTCCAACTGGATTTAGTGCCACTGAACACAGCTCTTTGGACCCAACCATCCAACCAATTTTTTATCCAGAAAAATGTATGCACATCCAAGCCATGAGCAGCCAGCTGCTCTAGGAGAATGCTGTGGGAAACCTTCTACTAAGTTTTGTTTCAATTCTTCATGTAGGACTGGTTTTGTCTGCATTTCTCACTGTTCATAGTGTTTGATTATCTTTAGAACTGCTGTAAGATTAAGGGTTGCTTCCTCTTCTAAGGTTGGTGCACACTAACTTTGCAAGTCAAACTCCTGCAGAACACATGCCTAAATATCTTTCTTTTTCTTTTAGCACCAGCATTAGATGTTGATTGGCAGAGTAACAACACGTTTGCCTCTTGCAGTACAGACATGTGTATTCATGTCTGTAAACTAGGACAAGATAGGCCCATTAAAACCTTCCAGGGTCACACAGTAAGTACTGGAAAATGGGGGGTTACTGTTTGATATTTTTATTAATGAGAGATTGGGAGCTCTGTATATTTGCCAGTCCACAGCACTTCTGTAATGATTGGTCTGGCAACTGGCAGTAAATATGCATAGACTGATAGCTGTAGTTACGGCCATATGGTATAGTCTCTATCATCATTAGAACAATTCTCAATCCCATGTGCAGCTTTTTTTACCAGTGCCAGGATGGCATAGCAGTTGTGAGCTTTAGGAGATAAGGCTTTGCTGTGCATAGCCTGTGTTGTGTAAAGAGCATGTGTGGGAAAATGTGATGAACAGGTAGCAGAAAGTTGTTGTTACTGAAGGCAAAGCTGGGAATGAAAATTAAATGTTAAAATCCTGACAGTTATACAGGTACTCATAACTGCTGTCCAACTTTATCTTTTGTAAGCTGTCATTGTAATGGAATTGAAGACTCCAATTTATTCTCACTGTTCAATTTTAGAATGAAGTAAACGCAATCAAATGGGATCCAACTGGTAATCTTCTGGCATCCTGCTCTGATGATATGACCCTAAAGGTAATGAGAGTTCTGGTACCAGCTCTTGCCTTTGTAGGACACCGGAGTGCTCAGTCCAGCAGTATCACTATACTTGCCATGCTGTCTCATACTTGGTTTTTTTAATTATAACAAGATTAGGCAATCCTAGCAAATCTTTGCTAATCAGAGCCAAGCTTTGGTCCAGGGAACTTGTTAAGGCTGCCACCCTGAAACTTGGAGCCTTATTTATTAGGTGCTTTTAGCTGTTTACAGAATCTGGTCATTAATCATTAAGCTGTCACACTTGATCATTGCTTTTGGTTAAAAGGAAGAGTTGGAATGCATGTTGTGTAACACATACAAGGCTGGGAAACTTGGGGCAAACTTGGGAATGCAGAGGATACTGTAACTTTTGCGTATGGCTTCAAGGTGTATTAGAGATCCACACAAAAATACCACCAGGTTAGGTGGACTACAATAAATTTGTTTGTTGATGTCTGTCAGGCCTGTGCTGTTTCCATGTTAAGATGGTTTTGCATTACTCCCATGCTGCTTCATGTTTAGTGGGTGTTTAGCATTATTTTTGGTAGAGTTTCAGAATGCATTTTTTTATGTTGACAGTGCTGTCCTACTAGTAGCCCTTGGGACAGTTACTTCCATCTAGCTCACTGTTGTCTAATAAGGAAGTGACTGGATGAGTAGCCATTCTGTGCTGGCAATGGAAATTACCTTATCTAAATGTAAAAATGTAAACATGTAAGCATTAAGCCTCCAGCCTAGTGGTAGGTGTCTCAGATTTTTTAGTTAACAGTGTCTAGCACCACTGAAGAGCAATTAATCCTTTCCTAAGTAAAGTGTCCAAGTCAAATGTAATGAGTAAACCCCTGAGAGCATCCCTCATTCTCCACTGGCAATGGATGGAGCAAAAATAGTCAGCTGAAGCTGGATATTTGATACTTAGGCAAAACTCAGGTGAGAAGAATTCCATTGCTCAAGCTGATGCTGCTGCATCTCAATGAGTAAAGAAGTGACGACTGGGAACACGTCACCATTCATGGGCTCAGGCAATTCAGGCCATTAAGCTTCTCAGTTGCTGTTCTGAATTCATGCCAGCATGGAAATAATTTTTTGGTTTTGTTCAGGATTAACTGGAAGACCAGTTGCTTGTAGGTAACACATCACTAGCTGCTTGTGGACCACTTCCTTTTCAATGGCAGTAGGAAGGAATGTCAGGTTTGGATGCATATGGAAGGTGCCTGCTTGTTTTTCTCTCTTGTGCTGCTAAGTTGATATTCTCCAGGCCAGATAATATGGATTCTTTTCATCTGCACTAGTTTTGGGAAGAGAGGCTAGATTTTAATCACATCAATTTAGACTGGAAATAAAATTTCAATTCTGTCTGCACATTGAAAATCAATTTTCCCTTCAGTGAGGCACCAGTTCTGAAAAGGATCATTCATTTAAACCTACATCCTGATTGCATCTTAAATACAATTGGACTTAAACATGCTCCTGTTAGGTTTTTCTAACAAAAAGTGAGCTAACAGCAAATAGTTTGAGTGGCCTGAAAGGTAGCAGTCAGGCTGCAAATAATTAAAAAGGAAGATGTAAAAAATGTTTTAATACAATGTTTTGCTAAATGTCTGTGTTTTCTTCTATTTTTGTCATAGATCTGGAGTATGAAGCAAGACAGTTGTGTCCATGATTTACAAGCACACAACAAAGAAATTTATACTATCAAATGGAGTCCTACAGGACCAGGAACAAATAATCCAAATGCCAATCTTATGTTAGCAAGGTACTATTTAATCCTGTCTTTAAATGCCTGTCCAGCATTAATTTTACTTCACTCTTTATATATAGGTTCACAGAATGTTTTGAAGCATGTAGGATACTTTATCATTTTATGTTTATATTAGATACCAAAATATCTCAAATGGAGATGTAATTAATCTGTGTTTTTTCCCCTTGACAGTGCATCCTTTGATTCCACTGTTAGGTTATGGGATGTAGACAGAGGAATTTGTATTCATACTCTGACAAAACATCAAGAACCCGTGTACAGTGTAGCTTTCAGTCCTGATGGCAGGTACCTGGCCAGCGGCTCCTTTGATAAGTGTGTACACATCTGGAATACACAGGTAGAGATCTTCTGTCTGTTTGGGAGTTTGGGGTTTGGGCTTTTCCATCAGCATCCTGCTGCCCTTGGTTGCTCCATTGTCTTTTGGCCACAAAGAGCTTGGCCTTTGCTAGCACGCTGGTTCACTTTCTCTTTGCTCTAAGGTTACTTCAGTTAATGGTTGTACATTTAATTTCTCTCTTTGAGTGCTTGCCTGCAGTGAAGCAGTAATTACCTTTATATGGTCTTAGCAAAAAAAAAAAATCAACAACACAGAAAACTAACAAAAATCACCACCAAAAAAACCACAACAAACCATATTCAGCAAAGTATCCCCAATAACATAGTTGCATGCAAAATTTTTCTTTACTAAGTCTGAACTTTAAAGTCCTGATAAAACAGGTTTGAGGTGAAAAATGATGGTTGTATGACTGGATGTGGACGTGCAAATCTGATAGCTATTTAATTATATTTCACAGAAAAACAAGAGAGGCTAAAGTGAGAGAAGACAATGGTGATTAAATGTTTCTGCAGAACTTTCTGAGAGGACACTATTACTTGTTTTGTGTTTCTGGTGCAAAAAAGAGCTGATATGAATGAAAGTCTAAAGATCTTGTTAGACAAAATGTCATTGTGGCTACTGGGAATTGGATATTTTATGAAAAGTTTGTTTTAGTCACTGGAATTAGACATGACCATCCCCAGTTTTGCCTGTAAAACACGAGATCAAGATGTGGTAATTGTGGTTGTCACGTCCTTTCACACAGTGCTGAGATTGTCCATGAGTCTCATCTGGACTGTTTCCTCTGAGAATTTAAGCTTGTAAAAGTAGTGGGGAATTTTACATATACAAATTTGACCTGTTTGCATGGATTTTGTTATATTAATTACATCTTGTTTCCCTTTTTAGACAGGTGCCCTAGTTCACAGTTATCGGGGAACAGGAGGGATTTTTGAGGTTTGCTGGAATGCAGCAGGAGACAAAGTTGGAGCAAGTGCTTCAGATGGTTCAGTAAGTGTTGCTTAACTTTTCTGACATTCCAAGAACAAGCATCTTTTGACTAGTGATGAAGGCAAAATTTCCTTCTGTAGCAGAAGCTCAGTGCAGCCAGCTGACATCTAGATTGTCACATACAAGGGTGCTGGAATTTTGAAAGGAGAATGTGTCTGTATTCCAGCTTAATTCATTACTGTTCCAAACCCTTCAAAAATCTCGGAAGGGGAAGATGCCTTTAATTTAAATTTTCTGTGGCTTGCCATGGAAATGTGTTCATTATGGCTGGTCTTTTCATTATAGTCTGGAAACAAGTTCATTTCTTTTGCCCATTTTGGGTGAAAATGTTCAGTGTAGGTAGCATTATTGTAATGCATGAAAGGAATGAAATGTCTCATATTCAACAGGGAGAGCTGCAAAACTAAGTACAAATTTCTGAATCTCATTATTAAAAGGTTCCTAAAAATGACAGGGAAGCATGAAATAAAATAAAATGCTTAACTAATCATGAATGCAGCCTCTATCACCTCATAGTGCTGTGTTGTAGCATCACCTCCTAGCCCTTTTGACATTGCCCTGCAAAGTGTTGAAGTAAGTTATTAACATGCAGTTCTTCATAATGAGTACAATAGTTGTTTTTTTGCTTGTGCCTCCTTTGCCATGGTTTTAAAAGAAAGGAGAGCCTAAGGAAAAGCAAAATTGGAATAAACTGGGGGTGATAAAGGAATTGTATTTTGAAGTGCTGTAGCTTAAAGTAAGAATCGTCAGCAAAAAGCAATCCTAGTGACTTTGTAGTCCAGAGTCCCAGGCATTTTCTTAGCCTGGGTGCCAAAGTGTTCTCCTGTCCTGCCTGCTCCAGTGCTGCTAAGGGAGATGACTGTGTTAGAAGTCAGAAAATAGGAAGTTCTGACTTTTAAGTAGACTACACTCTGGAATATTAATTATGATTGGTCTTTCAGATGATTTTTGGCTTGTAGGTATAGATGGTATCATAAAAGTGTCATGTTGTTTTACATTGTTTGCTATCAAAAGCCCTCCTCAATCCCCTTAATTTTAAATATACTTACAGTTCATAATAACTAAGCAAATAGAGGCACATCTGAACTGTTGGATGACTAAATGCATAGCTTTTATGTGATTATTTTTACTAGTAAATGTTTGTATCTGAAAGATGCTCTGATAGTAATTAATGAAGCAGCAGTACCCTTAGCAGGGTGCTCATAACTGAAGTGCTCACCTGGAGATTTCCCTACCTCCCCATTGTTAAGAGGTACAAGACAAAACTTCCACAATCTGTTTCACAGAATCACAGAATGTTAGTGGTTGGAAAGGACCTGTGGAGACCATCTAGTCTAACCCCCATGCTAGAGCAGGATCCCCTAGAGCAGATTACACAGGAACACATCCAGGCGGGTTTTTAACATCCCCAGGGAGGGAGACTCCACAACCTCCCTGGGCAGCCTGTCCCAGTGCTCTGTTACCCTCAGAGTAAAAATGTATTTTCTTATATTTAGGTTAAACCTTCTGTGTACAAGTTTGTGCCCATTGCCCCTTGTTTTGTCACTGGACACCACTGAGAAGAGGCTGACCCCATCCTTCCAACACCCACCTTTTAGATATTTGTAAGCACTGATGAGATCCCCCCTCAGCCTCCTTTTCTCCAAGCTAAACAGCCCCAGCTCTCTCAGCCTTTCCTCATACGGTAGATTCTCCAGATCCTTAATCATCTTAGTGGCCTGTGCTGGACTCTCTCCAGTAGTTCCTTGTCCTTCTTGAACTGGGGAACCTAGCACTGGACACGGTACTGAGGGTTTTAAGTTTTGCAAGTTTTTCTGAGCCATTTCACACAGAAGTGTGTACATGTGGGCTGGTGTGCCATGGCTGTCTGTGTACATCTTTCTTTCTCTTGCAGGTTTGTGTATTAGACCTACGGAAATAGCGCTACTAGTTGGAAGCCATGGACCGACTATGAATGTGTACATAGCCAAAATGACTGTCCCTGACCCATGTACTGCTATAGTCCCAATTGAACCATGGCCAGTCCACTACAGCCAAACACAGAAGAAATATATACATATACTGTATATAACAAAAAAAAAAAAAAAGAAAGAAAAAGGAAAAAAAAAAATTTACACCCTGAAGAGGATGACAGAGTTTTGTCACAGCTTGTGAATCCTGTTCACCAAGTGCTGGAATCTGCTGTGCCCCAAAATAACATTTAAAGGTTTTGGATATGAAAACCAGAAGAGAGAGAGAGAGAGAGAGAGAAATATACCATGTACAAGAGCAGACCCATATACATACCAACTTCAGAAGATACTAATGGCAGCCTTCATTACCCCTTCCCCCCTTCAAATCCATTTTGACAATGGGTTTGTAGGGTATTTTTGTTTTCCTTCTCAGTAGTTGAGCAGTTTGTGTGTACAGAGAAAATGGACTTACAGAAATCTGCAGCAGTAGTTTTTTCTTTGCTTTTAAACATTGGGTTTTCTGTTTTGTTTTGGTTAAGTTTATGGATGCATGAAGTAAGGGAGTGAATTAGTTTCTTGTTTATGTTTGTGTTTTTTTTTCACCTTGGAAAACAATGTTTCTTTGAAGCATATTTTAATGCATTCTTTGAAGACGTAAATTGAACCTGATAATGTTTGGTACATTTTGTGGCTCCCAGAGCACAATTTTGTGAACAGAGGGAAGGTGGAAAAGGGATTATGGAGAGAGAAGAAAAAAAAAAGAGTTCTTTTGAGGCATGATATTTCATGTCCTGCTCATCTATGAAGTGCGACAGTAATGGGTATAATGCTATGTTTTATTTTCTGGTGACATGGCTGAAATGCAGTAGTTTCTTATTTGGGACATAATTCTGCCAAACTGAAGAACAGAAGGGCACAAAATGACAGAAAATAAAAATACAGGGATGCAAAAAAAAAAAAAAAGAAGAGGAAAAATTGCATCTTCTGTTGCTTTAAGACCATAGCTAAAATATGGTTAAATTGTGCACTATTGTGAAAAGGAGCAAAGTATAGCTGGGGGATTGTTTTTAAGAGGTTAAGATCTTTCTGGACAAGGGTTCATGCCACAGCTTCTCTGAGAGTTGCCCATCATTATTTGTAGGAGCTTAGATGTATAGTTGTAACCAAACTCCAGTATTAAAAGTATCTCATGTAATTTTTCTTTATTAAAATAAAATCTTTGGCATATATTTGATAACACTGCCATTAAGAGGCAAAATGTTTACTACCTTAGATTTAAAACAAAAAATCTTAAACAGAGGACTTGCTTCAAGTTTATTTTAATAGCAGTGATTCAGCTTATTTAAAAGATGAATACTTGCACTAATTCCCCTGCTGCTCCAGTCCTGCAGTTTATTGTATCTTGTGACTACATTTTTTTCCAAATATAGGGTAGATGTAAGCTGCTATTTTTTTAATAATCACTACTATATGTGTCTTTTACTCTGTTTACAATATCAAGTATTTTTCTTACAATGACAGATGTATATGGCAAACCTTTTTCTGCTCATGTGTTTAAAAGTGCTCTGATAGTGACTTTATTTGTAAATGACAGCATGAGGTTGTGTTTACATGTACGTGTCGTCGAAAAGGTTGCATCACGTCTTGCATAAAATTCCAAGAGTGTAAATTTATAAAAAGAGAGGTTGTCAAATTTATGTCACAGGCCTTTTACTTAAAGAATGGTTTCTATTACAGAGCTTTGCAAAGTTATCAGTTTTATAACACTATTTCAATCACAAATAATTTTGTGGCTTATGATTGCTAGTCTCTAACCTTTTTTTTTTAATTTTTCAGTTTGATTTCCAACCCCCCTCTCCAAGTTAGTTATCAATTGATTTAATTGAGATAATGCAGCTTTGACATTTTAACAGCATTGATTTCTGCTATTTCCATGGAGTAAACACGACTTGAAGCAAGTCTGAGTTTGGCTAAGGTAGGGTAGCAATTTGCCAGTGGTAAAGAGAAGTCATCAATACAGTCTTTCTATATACCCCAGGATTATAATACTATCACACACAGCATTTGAAACCAACAAAAAGTCATATCTATAAAGACAGTCATCCACGGTGGTTCAGTGCCAGCTATTTTTAGAGTTTGGGAACATATTACGGATGTTCAGAGCAATTATCCTGTGAGTTACAATATGTAGGAAACCTATTCTGTTCAGTGTCTGGCACTTGAAATACTGCTTTTATTGCTGGAGGTCCATGACTGTGGCTGACCTCTGTCATTTAATGAAAAAAAAATAAAAAAAAAATAAAAATTCTGTGCAATAATTTTAAACTGTGCTCCCAGGAATAGACACAAATGTTTTGAGTATGTTTAAGCTGCATTTTTTGTTGAGCAATGCATTTGTCAATTGCACTGAATTTAAACCTGAAAGTCAGAAGTGATTCTTGATAGTACTTTTGTATTTTAATATGGACAGTTCATTCACTTTCATAAAAGTTGTTGGATGATTCTTTCAGCCAATCTAAACAATTGTGGTGGAATTCTGTGACATAGCTGCAAAATCATACAGCCATGTTTTAGGGTATTGCCATTTTCCTCTTTCTCAATCATCAGCTGTTTTGGTTTGTAATTCTAGTTGCTTCAGCATAGTATCACGGATTCAGAAGTAGGTAAAACAGAGCTTTGGTAGCACAGGTCCAGGGTTTCCAGGTGCTTGAAGCACCATCCAGCAGGAAGGTCACACCAGTTGTTGAGCGCTCTGGATGCTCAGGCTGAGCCCCCCGCCCTGGTGTTCATCAGCAGTGCCCCCCTGTAGTGCAATGGTGCCAGTTCCACTAGCAAAGGATCTGGCCAATAGGTATTTGATTGTTGTCCTTCACTAGCATGCCACAGTGCTGCTCCTGCTCACACCTCCTCTCACCTCTTCTTCTGTACACTGGTAGGTGCGTGCGTGCAAGGTGTGCTAGGGTCTGTGATGATGTGAAGAAAACAGAAAAAAAACAAAAATAAAGAGAATCATGACATAAATTATTATCGTTTATAGCACAAAGACCTCGTATTCAATAGTGAGGTAGACTGCCCAAATTGTTCCTTTAAATTGAGTATGCCAAATGTCAGTAAGACCCCAGCTTTGTATCAATATATGCCCATGCTTAGTCTTGCATATTGAGGAATTCTGTCGTGCCTGTTTTCCAAGTGCAAAGGCAGAAGCTTTTGCATACCTTACAGTTCCTGTTTCTTGCAGTTCAACACGTTAACGGGCAGATACCCAAACAGAGGATAAAAGGAAGGGGAAAAACTGGGCTCAGAATTAATGATGGAATAAGAAATGAACTGCTTGTGAGCTTGCTGTCTTTTCTATGCATCCAGCTCGGAATCCTGTTTCTCATTTCTGCATAATTAGGTCCAGGTTTCTGTAGAGTTCCGTGTTTTCTATTTTTACTTTACCTTTTTCTGCATTTTTAAATTAAAGATTCCCAACCAGTGGACTTCTTAGTGTAGTTAAGAGAATATCTAGGTCCTCATAAAAGCTTTTTTAGACTCTTTGTAATGTTGATAAACTCAGTTTATTCCGGGACTACCATTGTGCAGGGTTACTTAGCGTGTCTACTAGATGATTGGAAATCTTATATGAAACACTAAAAGTGCCTCTTTTTCTGGGTTGGGTGGAGGGAGGTAATAGTTACCAGAGTCAGAATGACATGGCATTTTGAAGCATGTTTCTTGATTTCATGACACTTTAATGCATCTTGAGAGAAAGGCCAAAGATTTCTACCCGTTTGAATTAATTTTCATTTTAAAAGCACTCCTTCTTCCTTATACTGCTTACCTCATGCTAGGGTATTTAATGGGACATTGTACCTTTGAAATGTTCTTTGTGTTTAGGAAGAATAGTAGGTGGCATAGGCTGGTTGTGCCAGTTTGCCTGTGGAGCAATCTCAGCAGCTGATGTGGTTAGTTCTGCTGAATGAAGGAATTGAATTAAACTGGCAAACTGGGTTTTTCAGCTTGTAAATAAAAGGTTGTATGTTTTTTGTCTGTTTAGCGAAGAGGAGCCTTGGGACCCGATTTTCCCAATCTTTACTTAACCAGAAATCCCATTGTGTTTCACTTCATGAGGAAACCTTGCCAGGATAAGCGTTGGAGGCGTTGGATCTGTAGGG